GTCCGTACTTTCTGGCGAACCTTTCTTGGAACGGCGCGAAACTTAAAAAGTTTTCGAGACGATGGTTCGGAGTGTGTGCCCGCCGACCGATCCTATTTGGTTTCTTAGATTTTTGAAAACCATCTTTTGAACATGTCGACACATTTGGAAGCTTTGGACACCTACGAAACCTTTTTGATGGGTTTGGTAGAATACGTTATTTTTTTTCAGTGCAGGCGCTACACAGGGTGCAGGCACTGCAACGATCATTGTAGCCGTATGACCTATAGAAGTATTAGAAATGTAGAGAGTATTAGAGTTATGGAACATAGAAAAATGTAATCAGCGTGTTCAAATTTTTATTATTTACCTTGCAAGTAAAAATATTTGCATTTCAAACGCAGATCCGTTATTTTCTGCTGTGCTGTTTGGACCTTACTCGGTATGATTTAAATTATGCGAAAATGGCCCAGCGTGCACTTCAATCAGAAAAATCTCGCCTTGTCTGGAATTCTAAATAATTCTCACATAATATTTCTATGTTAAACTAAGGACAGTCAATTGTATATGTCTATTTGTTTCTTCAGTTGAATCAACTGCTTATACCTTTTGTGACTACTAAAAATGCTACCAGCCTGAGAGTGATGATCTTAAAGTGAGCTTGCTCCCTAAGTACCCTATTCTAATCCACAATCTCGTTTTCCAAATGCAAGCGTTCCAGTCAGACAAAAATTTGGAAGAACGCGTTTAAACACACAAAAGAGAACCACGATTGTGCGCTATTAACGTTCAGTTTAAAAACGTTCGAACACGCGTTTACGGTTTTTTTCCAACTTCCTCAGCGTTTAAACATTAGAATTTTCCTTTCTCTAGCGTGAAAACGCCTTGTTTTAGAATTCCATATTAAAAGGCCGTTTCTACGTTGGAAAAAGGAAATTTCTGATGTTTACACGTTAAGAAAGTTGGAAAAAAAAACCCCAGTAAGCGCGTGTTCGAACGTGTTTTAACTGAACGTTAATAGCTCACAATCGCGGTTCTCTTTTGTGTTTTTAAAACGCGTTTTTCCAAATTTTTGTCTGACTGGGGTGTGAGTTCCACATTTTAGCCCAAAAGGGGCTGCGCTGGCAAGGTTTTTTTTAAGTAACCTGGTACAGATATTAACCATCAGACTAAAGGCGGACAAACAACATTACATTATGCAGTCATAATGAATCATATCGATGCTATTAAACTTCTGTTGTCATACAACGCTCGAATTGATATTCAAAATGATGAGATGATGACTCCCTTGGAAATCGCTGCTGTTGATCTGCGTGAAGAGATTGTGAATTATTCATTGAATGTTGAAGATATGGTTCGANTCTTGAAGATTTTAGGTTCTCCGCTCATAGTGAGCTAAGAGAGTAGTTGGAAGCAATAGTAAATAATTGACGAGTACTAATTTGACTTAGTTTATTTTATTGAGATAGATAAAAATAAAGGCTGAAAGGTCGTTAATTGACTCTAATACGCTTATTAATAAAGATACTAAGAATAAGATGTAATAAAGAAGAAGAAGAAGGAGGAGGAACGGGTTAATAAAAGGAATGCGTGTATACTCGTACGGAGCTAAAGCGAGGAATGATCGTTTCAGGTGGAACTCGGTGAGCTCTATCTATTCCAAAAAGAACATTCCGAGAAATATCCTTCCCTACCCATAAAAAATTGCAAAAAAACCTAAGAAACATGAAAATTTCGGAAAAACACGCACGGCTTCGTTTCTTCATTTAAATTGCTACCCAAACTCATCCGAATCATACAGTAAATGCAGTAAGACCTGTGCAAATTCATCTAGAGACAACACTCATGAGACTTCATAAATAAAAGCTGTAGTTTATAGGGATTCGGATGAGTTTGGGTGATGGATAAGAGTGGGTGAAAGCTTTTTTATGTTTGGAATCGATAGAGCTTATCGAGTTTCACCTGGAACAAATGTGCTTAGAGTTGCAATATACTCGTGTGCGAATCCGTGTACAAGGTATCCTACATACACCGATTGCACTTTTCTTGGATAAATTATGCGTTTAACATCCAACTCTTGAATTTCACGTCTTTGAATACATTATTTTTGTGTACGAACATAGAGAAATAAGGTGTAAGATAACCAGAAGACTGTTTTTGTAACGATTTTTCGCTTGTTTCCTTTTCCGTGACGAAAAGCCGAGCATAAGGAAAACACAAAGAACATCTCGCTTGGAAGGAATTGTCGACATGAGAATAAATGGTAGATGTGCTGTGTATATTGAGATTATTATAGGAACGTTCCTGGGTGTTTGTTTTTCACAAGCCGATCTTACGCTGTTGCTGATAAGAACTACGAGTATTAGTTATTCGATGTATTTTTTCATTGGTATGTGTGATTTATCAGAGGAAGAATTCTTTACGTATGCAAAATTTAATATATTATAGTTGAGTAATTACATGAGCGAAATCGCCCACTTTACTATGCATGCACATGATTCACATAAATAAGTGCAGGGAAAAAACCGACTTTTTCAGTACATAACTATTACTAAATAGTGAAAAGTAAATTAATAGATAAATTCATTTTGATAATTTATGCTACTGAAAAGGTAATTATTTCTTCATAACAGATTTTTTAGATTTTATTTTGTCATGATATGAGTGTCTATGAATATAAAAAAATAGGACTTGATGTGAAAATAAGATTCCATCATTGATAATCATTCAGACGAAGCAAACGTCGGATGACAGTTAGCGATTATTAATAATAAATGTGATGAAAATTTTGGAAAAATTGTCGATAGATGTACATTAGAAAAGACTATAGTTCTAATTTTTTCTAGAGGATCATTTTTTGTGTATATAGAGTTTAACAGAAAATAACTTAGACATTTACCATTAAAAGTTCAGAGCAAAAACTAGCGTTGAATTTCGTCATAGTTTCTTTAGGATTAGGAAAGGAATCACAGCTAATTTACTTTTTCTTTTAGTAAATAAGGTGATCCAATAAAATATTTGTAATCATATGACACAAGAAAATTTCCTGAGAACTAGCAATCGCTTTGCGACCAGCACTTGTGCTGAATTTCAAGAAGCAAATGGCAACCCAATATTCGGGTACGAAGATGTGCCTGTGAAATCACTAGAAGATGCAGTAAAAGGTGTTGTCCATATCGTGCCTAAAGTGAAAGAATATGTCAATGAAGCCATGAAAAACCGTAGACAAAATACACATTTAACAAGAGATGAATCAGCATCAATCTATCTTTATACAATACCAGTGGACTTCTTCCAGCGTCTTAACGAAGCGCTTCGTTTCAAGAATCCAGAAGCATTAAAACCATGGTTCGACTTCTTGAAGTTATTTATAACTGCCTTAAAAAAATTACCATCATGTAAAATATCAGTGGTATGGCGAGGCATTGGAGGTAATTTTGGAAAGGAGTTTGCTGAAGGTTCCGAACACACTTGGTGGAGTATAAATTCCTGTTCATGTAATCAGAATGCAGCTAGATGTTTTGCTGATTCCAAGGGCACTCTGTTTTCGATTCACGCAATCAATGGTAAAGACATTAGTACGTATTCTGCAAATCCACAAGAACAAGAAATAATTCTTATGCCTGGTACTCGCTTGCGTGTCAAATCTTCATGGCCTTCTGATCTTTCCACGATTGTTTTGGAAGAATGGTGAGTCTACTGGCAATATATTTTACTTCTAATCAAGACAGACATTCCGAAGATCAAATTCTTCAAACACCTAAGATAATGTCTCGTAAAAAGAAGAGGTTATGTTCCATGTATTTACATTTAAATACAGATGTTCGAATAGACGATCTGAAGAAAACATATCAGTAAATACATATCGATGCAAAATATATAATAAGTTGAACGTATAAAATAAATTCCTCTGTATGTCGAATGTTTTCTACAAAGTATCTTATCAGTGAATGTAGACATGAAAAAGCATTATTTTATAGCTATATTTGTTACATTTTTATTATTTTGCAGCGTTTAATTTTCATCTTTTAGTACTGTGATTCCTACTGGACAACACATCATGTTATCTTACAATATCAATGATAAAGAAATCGTATTTCAAATTTACGAGTTTTTACGAAATCAAGAGATGCCAGTTTGGATCAATCGATCAGAAAAAGTCACCGCAGATAGCTTACACGATAGGTACGTGTTTCAAATCATATATTCTGTCTCTCTACATTCTTTCTTTCAACTGCATTATTATTTTAGTTTGGCTAATGGAGTAGAGAACGCTGCAGCGGTTTTTTGTTTTTTGACGCCAGATTATGAAAGGTCACCAGTTTGTAAACTTGAACTACAATATGCACATAAACGGAGAAAATTAATCATCCCGTGTTTGTTCGACGACAAGAAATTCTGGGACGATTCTTCTTGGTTAATGACAGTAGTTGGATCTCTTCATTGTTATAATATCAAGAAAATTCAGAATAAGGACAAAATGCATTTACAAAAGTTAATCAATAATTTGTACAAAAAACATTCTTCATCGAAGCACGTCTCAACAGAATCAGTCGGTCCACCAAATTATCTTTTCGAATTAATTAAATACAAATATCTATGTGACAACAAAATAGAACGCTTCATGAATCCATCGAAAGCGTTTCCAATCGAGCAGAGTTATATCAATTTGGCTATAGTAGAAACGAAGGAAACTCACGAAAAAGAAAAGAAACTCGATAATACTCAGAGCATTGATGCAGTTATGGGTGCATTCGAGCAAATTTATGGAAGTAAATCTCCAATTGATGTCAAAGATATTTTCACGAAATGCAAAGATCAAAACAGAAATATTTTAGTTTTTGGTCGAGCTGGTATTGGGAAATCAACATTCTGTCGGTATGTTGCTCACCAGTGGGCAGCTGGCTCAATTTGGTCAGAATATGAATTAGTTGTGCTCATTCCTTTACGATCTCTAGTAGAAACAAATTATCCAAAAGGCAAAGATTATTCTCTCATCGACATTCTGATAAATCAATATTTCTCTGATCCATTCTGGTCAGATGAACAAAAGAATAAGCTTGTAGAAAAGCTTGTAGAACAGATTCGTAGAAGTAAAATTCTGTGGCTATTGGATGGTTATGATGAAATAGCACAAGACCCACCTCGACATCTCCAAATCTTACTTGAACAGCTGCTCAAAACTCCGCATCACATCATCACCTCTCGTCCATACATGAATACATTATCATATTCGGTGAAGATGGAAATTACAGGCTTTACAGATAAAAACATTTCCAACTATATTAAGCTGTTCTTCAATCAGTTAGAAAACTCATCACATGAAGATCAGAACTTACTTAACTTTCTCAAGTTGAATCCTAAGATTTGGGGTATTGCGCATATTCCCATTAACCTCGAGTTGATTTGTAGTGTTTGGAGCAATTTCGATTGGACAAAAACAAATACAGTTACGATAACAGTATTGTATGATAAATTAACTGAGTGGATCTGCCGCCGATACCTAGAGAAGCAAAAAGGACTCTCGACCAACCAAACCAATCAGATGCGTAAAAAGAAAATATATGAACAATGTCAAAAGGAATTGGCATTCTTAGAAAGTCTCGCTTTCCACGGCATGAAAATCAATTCTATTCTTCTCAGTCCAGAATTACTAGAAAGGGCTGAAGAACAAAGTAATTGTGAGTTATATAGTCATCCACATTTACTTAATCTTGGAATACTGAAGTCATTAACTTCGGACGCAGACAGCACTGGCACACGACTTGAAATAGACAAGCACTATTACTTTGTCCATCTCAGTTTTCAAGAATACTTTGCAGCTGGTTACTTAGCAAACGTTCTGTCCAGTACTGCATGCAATAAAGCAATTGAATTTATTCAGCAGCACAAATACAATCAAAGATATCAGTTACTCTTTGCATTTCTAGCCGGGTTACTAAGCGAAACATGTGACTCGCAGCTTAACATCAAATTTTGGAACACAATATTTAGCGAACCATTAGATATCACCCGTATGCAACATATGGCTCTTGTTATTCGCTGTGTCGATGAGATTAACAGCAACCAAACATTCATTGAAGCCCAACAATTATTCCAACTGACAACGCGATGGGTAGAGACTGTTCTAACACATAAATTCCGGTATTTACTTCCGTTTGTGAAAAACATTATGAGAGCGTGTAACACAATCTGCAATGCAACGCATATTCACCAGGCACTGGTACGATTATTGGGCGATAACCAAACCACTATCGTTTGTAGAACACTCGAATTTATATCATCAATCCCACTAAACAATCCTACTAATTCTTTAAAGCGCACAGTGCTACAGAAAATACAGCATCCAGATTTCGATGTAAAACAACAAGCATGCGACGCCTTGCATCGAATGGATGAAAAAGCAGCGATGAAGGAAGCAACCGATGCACTTGTAAAGGCACTTTCGGACCAGGATTCCAACGTAAGAGAGCGTGCATGCTTCGCATTGGGTCCAATGGGTAAAAAAGCAGCGACGAAGGAACTAATCGACGCACTTCTCAACGCACTTTCCGACCACAATTCTAACGTGAGAGGATATGCATGCGAGGCACTCGGTCAAATTGGTCAAAAAGCAGCGATGAAGGAAGTAATTGATGCTCTTGTCAACGTACTTTCGGGCTGCGATTCTGACGTAAGTCGGTATGCATGCGAGGCACTCGGTCAAATTGGTGAAGGGGCAGCGACGAAGGAAGTGATTGATGCACTTGTCAAGCCACTTTCAAACGACGATTTCGGCGTAAGACTGGATGCATCCGAGGCAATCCGTCGAATGCGTAAAAAGGCAGCTACCAATGAAGTGATTGATTACCTTTTCAAGGCGCTTTTGGACGGCGATTTTAACGTAACATACTATGCACCCTACGTATTCGATCCAATGCGTGAAAGTGCAGCGATCATGGAAGTGATCACGGCACTTGCCACGGCAGTTTCGAGACACCATCGCCACCTAAGATACCATGTATACAAGGCACTCGGTCTCAGGCCTGAAAAGCCAGCGACGGAGGAAGTGATTGATGCACTTATCAAGGCATTTTCGGACGACGATTCCGACGTAAGACGGCATGCACGCGCGGCACTCGGTCGAATTGGTGAAAAGGCAGCGACGAAGGAAGTGATTGATGCACTTGTCAAGGCACTTTTGGACGATG